AATATATTGAAAAAAAGATACAGCTGTGCACAGCAGTCGGAGATCGGTACATTCCACTTGTTAGTTACGAACTACTTCCTGGTTTTCACAAGGTCCTTCAAGACCTCTAAAACATCGTTGTAATTGCAGCCCATACCATAAAACACCCAAAAATACTTAGATATGGACATATCGGATTATATTAATGCCAAATTTCCACATGACAACGATTTATAGACTCCCGGGAATTATTTCCCCTTTACCCTTTTTGTCGCGCTGGCGGTCGACGCAGCATTTATTTCTAAACAAGTTGACCGCAAATTAAGCACGATTTTGCACCTTCAAGTTCCGTGTCACGTTTTCATATCATGCATTTATTATTTCTACAAGTTTTCTCTGCCCAAAATGCGTAAAGAAAAAGTGTTATCTTACCATGTTGTTTAGAAAACTTCTTTTTCCTCCGACAACCCGTCTTCACTGCCGTTCACCTCTATGTTAAAATGACCACTCAGCTTCGTTTCTAACACCACTGCACGTCACTTCCGGCACAATTCTGACCAATGCTGATCTTCTCCGGTTCCCTTTATTCGTATCTCATTCCGTATTTCGTAGCTCAATTCGGGTAACATTTACAGCACCAATATTCTCCATGATAATACCGTAATTCATTCAAAACCCTTCTCCAGACTTTTAGCATCAAATGATAAGTGTGCAAATTTTAAATGAAAACAATTGCATGGCGTACCCTTATTTATGTTGGTGTACATTCTCTAGTGATGTTACATGACCCTTAACTGTATGGTGCCAACATGGAGGATAAATTGATAAAAAATAAATAATTTAGCCTTTTAAAAATAGTGCTGTTAACAAAGGCAAACATAATGTTAATTAAATGTCTCTAAATTATGTTACTTTAATTTAGAGAAAATAGTTCCTTACCCAAACGCCTTTCCCTTTCAATCTCATACACAGCTTTCTTGAACTTTGAAAAGGGGTCATGACATAAATAGGGTACTTTGTCGCTTAACTTTTGAAGAAGAACTTCCATCCTGCGAGACACCTGTCGCTGTGATTCATGAAGCACGGCCTTCACCTCCTTCTGTGTTAGGACACCCTCAGACATTAAAGTTGTCAGCACTGCTTTAAGACCATCTTCTCCAAGGTCCACTGCCAAATCTGGTAATCTAGATTGGGTTGCAAAATGTATGTATTTCAGTGCATTGTGTTGTAATTAGAAATCAGTTGCTGCTTTCAGTCAATTTTCTTACCTAGGTTATTTTCCAAGTCTGCTAGAATGCAACAGAGTGTGGGATATTTTCAAGATACTAAAACAATCAAACTGATAATGGTATGTGACAGACGCAATGACATTTATTTAACAACCCAACAAATGCAACGTTAATACTAAAAAGGCGCTGTTACCTATTTAGGTGATAGTGTTTAATACGAAACTAACAAAACTTGGAAAAAATATATATATACCTGAGGAGGCTGGCAGTTTCGTGGTTCCCACTGTCATGTATAGCTCCACAGAAGATGTAGAACGCCGAGTCCCTCTTTCTTTTAAGAATGCTGAAAAGATTGATTGTTCCATCTGGCTCTAGGATGGATCTCCGGTCTTCCTCTGTGAATATCCCAGCTCTCACAAGGCGACTCAATATCTCGCAGAGATGCCTAAATCGACCGCTGATGTTTTTCAACAATTGCACACCATGTATCCTTAGGGCCGTACGGTGGAGATCGGTCATGTTACCTATATGGAACAGTAACCAAGATACAAGCTCATGTCCCACTGATATCAAGTGAACAAATGTGCTATGTGTAATAAAAGATATAATTTGACCGTTTTCTTTCACACTCAAACTTGACAACTTAACCCATCTTGTGTAATTCCAGCACAATTAACATACTACTCCATAACTAATAGTGATATAAACTTACCCTCAGTTACTGGGTAATAGTAATCTGCTGAGGCCATAAAACTTGGCTCTTCCTCTGGACAAGGGTGATAGCATGCCTGATTTTCCAATGGAACATTGAGAAATTGCTCTGGTATTTCAAAAAGAGATGGAGGTGTTTTTTCTTCATGAACACAGTGCGGACACACCACGTACTCATCTCGAGTGGCACCAGGACTTTCTCTTTCTATCAATCGTGCCAAGTCCTTGAATACCTTAAGGCAAGACTCTTTGAGTTGGTTAAGATCATCCCCCTGCATAGTAAGCTTTAGTATTCCGTTTCCCACACATTCCCTTTCAAGTGTCATTCTGAGGCAATCACCAAGCTGGACATAGAAACCATCTTTCCAATCTCTACGTGTTGATTTGAAGTTTCCCAAATATCCATGAAAATGGACAGCAGCCATTTCATACAGTCCAGTTGGGCAG